CAAGATTTGATATTATGAGATGAGCATCATAGTTTTTAAGATTGTGAAAGAATACTGGTATATGATATTTTTTAAAGCAATAGTCTATATTACATTTCATATGTGCCGCTCCTCTGTATAATCCCGTGAAGTGACAATGGTCGGCGACCTTCTTCTTCGCTTCCACCTTGTTGTTGAAAGCGCCATTGCATAAGAAACACTTTTTAGCTTCTAAATGTTTAATTTCATCTAAATCTGACATAATCATATCTTTTGGTTTTTTCATTTGTTCCATAACATCGTCTCTAATATTATTCAGAGTATCGCAAAAATTATCAATACAATCTTCGCCTCTGTATAAATACGGTGTCATTTCTCCACTATAAGCATTAACAAGGTTAAGCATATAACCGCTGGGTTTATGGTTCTGATAAGTCCCTTTGATGCCTTCTGATGTTTCTGTTGTTAAACATTCAAAATCACCGTAAATAACGAATGGGGCTTTAAGTTTCTTGAAATGTTTTTCAAACTTCATTGATGTTCCTTCTTCTGGCATTTCTGTTCGTTGAGTGTCATTTGCCATACATCCCTTTGATATGTGAGCATTTAAAAGCTTTTCTGATTGAAAACCGTGCTGACAGTAAATACAATGAAATATCTTTGTTTTGTGATTGTTGGTTTGACTACCCATTAATCTATTATAATCTTTTATTAAAACATAATGTTCATTATCATCTTTTTGAATTCGTAACAGATTGATATGACAAGATGGTTTTTGAATCTTCGTTATTTTGTCTGCCCTGATGGTTTGGTTCTCATCTTCAACATAAACATTAACTGATATAGAATTTTGGTTAATTGTTTCAAAATGGTCTATGTCATCATTTGATGCTGGAAAATTCACACCATCCCATTTAATGAGACTTTCAGTAGTCATTAATTTCTTGTAGTGTCTCATATGTTGCGGATGGTCTTTCTTGAAGACTTCATAGAATTTACATAAAACGCAGTATTTGAAACATAACTCATCTTCGTTTTGAATGTTGATACACGCTTTTTTCTTTGAAATCCATTCTGGTAGTTCCATATATTTTCCTGCTCTGTTTGGATTGTATTTATCGTAGTGGATGGTTATTTTGTTAATCTTATTAATCTTCAATCCTGAATGTTTCAAAGGTGAGTTTTCAATTTGAAGTTCAATGTCTTTCGGTATATTTTCCAATGCCTTTTTCAAATCGCCTACATTCAAAACGTTGTATCTCCTACTCCTCATATTGTGTTTTATTTGTACATCATTTTCATCTTTGGTAGATATTCCAAGCGTGTTTGATGCGCTGACAGTGTCTTCTGTTTCATCACCATCTACATCAACTTTATCAAACAGAACCTCAACATCAATCAGTAGTTTCATTGATTTTGCTTGTTGTAAAAACTCTGTTAGTTTCTTTTCTTGCCATAAAAGATATGTTAATCCTTTGTATCCCTTGAATGGTATGTTGGATATTGAATATGTGTTAGCATACTCTTTCAATGCTGAAAATGTCTCTGATGTTTTAGCCCCTAATTTTAATCTGTATTTTTTGATTGTATTAATTCCTCTCAATGCCTTTGCTGACTTCTGTAAAAGGTGGTGTCTTTTGAACTCTTGTGTTTTTGATACTTGATTAAGTTTGTTTTGTAAAGATGTTGAGATGGGTTTTTCTTTGTTGTAATAATATTCCTTGTTGTTTATAACAAGTTTTTTTAAAGGTTTATTGTTCTTCCCTGTTTTTATGTTTGCTTCATTATTGGATATAGATAATTTATAACGTAACCTGCTTCAAAATCCCCTGCCATTTCTCTAATAATATATAAGGCATTTTCTCTTTAAGTAGTTTTGGGGGTGGGTTCTTGTTGCGGGTTTGGATTTGGTGGGTTTGGGTTCAACGTTGAAATGTGGGTTTGGGTATGAGTTTTAAACTGAAACTGATGAAGCTGATGTGATTGTTGATTTTGGGGGAGTTGTGAAATGGTTGATTTTGCCCTTGTTTTGTTGGGTTTGGGAAAGTGGGAATGTTGGGGTTTCTGGAAGGATGCCCTTAAATTTGGGGTTGGTCTCAAACATCAAGATGGAAAATTGGCGAGAGTTTCCCCTTATTTATTACTATAAATTTAAGGGTGAAAAAAAGCGACAACGACCACACCTTGAAGATATACAGGGAGGTGCCTTCTGACATACAGGACGCATACACAGGGTCAAAGGGGTCAAAGGGGTCAAAGGGGTCAAAGGGGTCAAAGGGGTCAAAGGGGTCAAAGGGGTCAAAGGGGTGAAGTGTCAAATGTCAGGCTCGGCAAACTGTCTGGCAATGTCATTCCCTGAATGCTTTGTTTGAACCCTTGACCGTAACAAAACAAATACATTGCCCCCTTTGAAAACCCTTAACCATATGACTGACAAACCTGAAAGGGAACGGTCAGATAGACGATGACGACGATGACTTCGCAACCTCAGCAACGCAAAGGGACGGTGGCAGTTGTATGAACTGGTGATGAATGCTTCTTCAAGACAACGACTCACAAGTGAACACATGTTCAGCAACACTTCTTTTGACCGCTCCACGGACAAAGTGTCTGGCGATGTAATGAAACTGCTTTGACAAAAAAAAGGCATCACAGTTGCAACATTGCTTTCAGCATAGTTTAAAGAACATAGTTGTAGAAACACATAAGGTCAAAGCAATCATGCCACATGCCTAGATACGCAAGGTCTAACTCCACTCATGATTGAAGGGGATGCCTTGGTCGAATGAGAAGGTCTTCACATGCCACCCTCTGCCGTGTCGTCACCTGAAAGGGTTGTGTTTCTCTGACCGATTATTTTGATTACCCTGAATTTGGGGTTTGGTTTCCCTGAATTTTGGGTTTGGTTTCCCTGAATTTTGGGTTTGGTTTCCCCGATGATGGGGTTTTCCTTTAAATTAGTCTTATTTTGGTGGATTTCCCTGAGTTTGGGGTTTGGTTTCCCGCCGTGCCTTTTGAAGAACGCCCCTGCTGAATGCACTTCTCCTCAACAATCTTTTCAATGGACTTACGGATGCCCTCCCAAGAGATGCGGTTGTTGTCTCCCATGAAGCCACGGTAGATGGAGGCTGAAATGAGCAAACGCCCAGCATCAGAGAGAACCGCTGTGAAAGCCTCCATCTGTTCAATGTTGTTGTAGTAATCCTCACAAAGGGTCTTGGCAATGAAGTCAATGCGGGTGCTCTCGTTGTTGCTGGTGAACATGACATTCAAGATGGCTTTGAGCTTATCCACGGATGCCTGATTGAGGGCAACGAGCAGGGACTGTTCGGTCACCGAGTTGGCCGCTTGGGTGATGTAGGTCTTGTTGAAAGCCAGGTCAGGCACTCCAAGGTGGTTGATGTTGTTGGTGGCCATCTGGAGCTCAAGCGCCTTGTTCTTGGACTTCTCAGTGCCAGTAGTGCCTGTGCGACCTCGCTTTCCTGCTCCTCCCTGACCTCGCACCGTAGAGTAGACTACAGAGCCGTTCTTCATGTCCCAGCCCTGTGCTGTGCGTCTGCTATGCTCTGCCATGTCCATATTGTTGAACCTGAACATCAAGTTTTTGACATGCTTCTTCACACCGAACTTGCTGGGGAACATGATGGACAAAGTCTCTCTGATTGTTTTGAGAGTTGCACTGCAAGGGATAGTAATGTTGAAGGACTCCTCGCAAAACATGACTGTGATGTTCAAGGTGGTCGGCTGGTCTTTCTTCGCCTCCTCCTTCTCTTGCTTCTTCCTCTCCTCTCGCTCCTGTGTGCGACGCTTTGACACCATCTTGACAAGAACCTTGTTGTGCTCAACCGCAGTCTTGTAGTAGAACATTGCCATAACCTTTGCCTTCTGGATGAGTTGGTTGAGTTGTTCCTCTGTCTCTGCCTTTGCGATGAGCTCCACAAACTCTGGGTCAGTGAAGACGATGTCCTCTGCCTCTGCCACTGTCGCGATTGGTGCTGTCAAAGTGCCCGATGAGCCATCAGCAGAGCCACCAGCGCCTCCTGATGGGTCATGATGTCCATCTCCTGAGTGGTCACTGTTCTTGTCGTTGTCCGAGCCCTCGTTTTCTTCACTGTCGCTGGTCTCACCCTCTGATGAGTTGGAAGTGGCATCCACCTCTGGCAAGATGGGTGTCTCTTCCTCCACATAACCGACCGTAGATGATGAAGGCTCCACGGATGACTTGGGCATAGCCTTTGACAACTTCGGTGCCATTGCCACTACAAGAGCACACTGAAATCTGAATTGCTTGAAGCACAGATGGTGCTGGTAATATAAAACATGCTGACATCCATTGATATGTCAATTCACATGTTTGTTCTGAGACAACCACACAGCTTGGTCAATGGTTTCACTCTGCTTCACTAACTGGGCAACCCGACAAGATGAAGAGGGTGATGAAGTCGAAGCAAACGGGGCGATGCGGTGGAGATTCAAACCATAACAACAGCCAATAACAATTGCAATGATCATAACAAAGTGCTTACCCTTTTTCATTGTGAAAAATTGTAAAAATGATCAACAATTCCCCAGAAAGCTTAAAAATGGTCTGAAACCTGAACCTTGAAAATGTCAAAATGTTAGACTGTTATTAAATGAAAAAAATTTTTAAAAAAAAGTTGAGAAATTTTAGGAAAATTCCCCAGAATCCCCCTTGGTGTTTTGAACAAAGTTGTTTGCTTGTTGAAAATGAACCCTGAACCCTGAAACCCTACCTTGAAAATTCCCTACCCCAGGAGCCCCCTATTACTAATTTTTGGGGGAGGTGGGGGAGCTGGGGGAGCTGGGGGAGCTGGGGGAGCTGGGGGGTGTTTTTCTTTCTTTCTTTCTTTCTTTCTTTTTGATTATTTTTTTTGTTTTTTGGGGGGGTGTCAGATGTGCGGGGCGGGATTTGGGAAGGGGGGTTGGGGGACGCATTCTTTTGCCTTTGTTTCTGGCGCGGCGAGCTTCCCGCCTCTTGGGGTTTTTGGACGGGCGTCGAGGTTCGGCTTTGCCAGTCGGTGCACTTCCCCGTTTCAGAGGTGAGCGGCAGCCTGGAGGACCTGCCCAAGGGCTTGCAGACTTTGGATCTGAGCGCCACGCGGGTGACGGGTGAGCTGGGGGCCATACGAGCCTGGCCGAACGCGCCATGGCCGAAGCTGTGGGTTTCTCTTACCCACAACCTGGGGCTTTGAATGGAGTCAGACCCCTCCATTGGACACCTGGTGATGAGTTTCTCAAAACCTGGCTGTTCGAGGGCGCCAAATCAATCGGGAGCCTCCGGGTAAGGAAGTTCCCAGGTTCTTGGTTGCAAGTGATGAGCCGACGAACGGGAATTGTTGGTTTGACACGCCAGTTGCCCGCAACCAAGGACAACTTTCCAATTCTGGGCCGAGGAACCTTGGGGAGCTCTGAGGGACGGTACTGTGGATGGGACGAAATGGGGATGGACGAAGCCCTGTGAATACTGGTCACCGATTCTGCCGATCGGCTTGGATTTTCCACCGACTTATGGTCCTTGGGTGAGTTCTAAGCAAACTAAACTGCCATAAAACTATCAGTCTGCCTTGGACTCACTTCCCGAGTTCATGAACTTTACACTTCTTTGGGGACGACCATCTTAGTGGAAAGTTCAAGAAAAGAGATTCGACTGTTGCTGGCCAATCCTGAGTTCGTGGACTTTACGCTTTTTGGGAAGACCACCTTAATCCACTCAGGAACCGAGTACGAAGCAAGGACCAAAACAAAATCCTGAGCTCCCCGCGGCCGTTTTTTTTCTTCGAGGCCCAGTTGCTGAAGCTGTCGAAGACCGGCATCACCGGGGCTGTGACCTCCGCGTGGCGCGGCTGCTGCCGGCACCTGCGGAGCCTGGACCTCTCCGACGCCCGGCGGCGCTCGAAGGGCGCGCGGTGCGCGCGGTGCGCGTTGCGAGGCGTTGGTTGCGTTTGAGGTCCGAACGAGCGGGAAAAAACACCGCTGGAAGGCGGAGGGGAAGGAGGGAATGGGGAATGAGGGGGAAGAGGGGAGGGGGCAGGGGGGAGGAGGAGGAGGGGGAAGGAGGTGGGGGACGCCTCAATCCTCTTTCAAGGGGGATCGGACCCCTATCCCGACTCCCAAAGCAGTCCTCAAACCCCTTCTATCGAGGCCCCTTTGATCAGAACTTCTTTGTAGGCCTTTCCCCATGCGCGCGTGCCCTTTTTTCCCGTCTAGTTTTCGACGGGCATCTCGGCATGTTCAACCTTTCAGGCTTGGCATGACTTGGGGTGTCAAAAAACCAAAAAGACTCCCTTTTGGATGGTCTTCAAAGGGAAGCCACCATGAACCCGCTGGGTTTTCTGGTCTGGTTTTAGGACCTCATGCCATGTTGCCCAAATCAACCCGCCATCCGCATGGGTTTTTTGATTGGCTCGTTTCATGGAGACGGAGGACAGCAACGTGAGCTTCATCCCACCCGGCGGCGACCCCGGGCTGCAGCAGGTCTTTTCCCCGGCCTGGGAAGAGGAGGCGATCTTGCCGAAGCTCATAGAGCTGTCAGCAGCGCGGCTGTTCGCCCTTCGATCAGCTTCGCCCTAGGTACTTCCTCTAGAATTAGCTCCCTAGTTTTGTTTCTTTTTTCTTTTTCTTGTTTGGGGTCTCCACGAACCAGGCAAAAGGTATAGTTGAAAATTCCTGCCAAGGGTAGTTTGGATTGGTTTGGGGATTTGAGCCCCAGGTCTACCCCCTCTGATCCAATCACCAATTGCAATGGTAATTTTGAGGACGTCACGTCAATCGACCCACTGGTTCACCTAAGTTCAATGCCCACCAGAAGGTCCCGAATGGAAGGTCATACTCAAAAGACATCGGACCAAGGAATCGGAGCGCCAAAATGACTGGCTTCCCTTTGATTTCCCTGTAAAACAATCCCAAAATCCCAAGCAAGGGGTACTCACTTCCAACACACACACACACAAGAGGTGAGTGTTAAAGCTAAAGCCCCAACGCTGATCCTATTTGGCGCGTGTATCTTGTGGTCTTGAGTGCTTGAGCAGGAATACAGGGGTCATGGCGCAATGGCACCGCGCCAGCAGGTCCTGGCTCTAGTTGTCATTCTTAGATCCGTGGAAGAATAGGTGGGGTTTATGGCAGCCAGCCGTTTTTTTTTTTTTTTTTGTTGCACTATATTATTGTATATGTTTTTCTTATTATTTATTATTATTATTATTATCATAACTATTATTATCATTATTAGTATTAGTATTAGTACTATTATTATTATTATTATCATTATTATTATCATTATTACTATTATTATTATAATTATTATTATAATCATTATTATTATTATCATTATTACTATTATTATTATCATCATCATCATCATCATCATCATCATCATCATCATCATTTATGTATTATTATCATTATTGTTGTAATAAACATACTACTACTACTACTACTACTACTAAATAATAATAATAATAATAATATTAATAATAATAATAATCATAATAATAATAATAATAAAATAATAATAATAATAATGGTAATACTAATAATAATATTGATAATAATATTATTATTAATAATAATAATACTAATAATAATAATAATAATAATAATATTAATATTATGAATAATAATAATAATAATAGTACTAATACTAATACTAATAATGATAATAATACTACTAATAATAATAATAATAATAAACATAATAATAATAATAATACTATTAAAGCATATAAAAATAAAGAAGTAACTAAATCAAAATAATAGGAAAAATAACATAACCCCAGAGCAACCTGGCATTGTCTCTACAATAGCCCAGTGCACCGAGACTGGCAAATCCTAATCGAGCCTAATTCATCGTGGCGTCTCCAAAATCTAGCGCTGCCGAGGCATCGCTTCACGCTATGCGTCCTTAGCACGGGCAAGGGGACCACCGCAGACATTTCGCCTTTGCTTTGGTGAGCCGGTGCCGGGCACCCCCCTTTTTGCTCTCTCCCCAAAAAAAGTATTTCTAGGGAATCTTGTTGCACCTCCCCCGCACCCTCCCCATTTTGGGGTCCTCCCCAAACCACCAAAATGCCTCGGAAAAACCGAGGTGCGTCCTACTCAAAACCCGGTATTAAAATGGTCTACCCAGAGCCATGCTCACCTTCATCTACCCGGGTTTTGAGCACGTGGCTCAGGTGAGCCGGTGCCCGGTGAACGGCGCGTGGAAGGACCTGGTGCAGCCGCTGCTCTTCTCGCCGCTGGTGGCGCTGAGGGCGGCGGAGTGCAACCTCACCGGGCAGGTGGAGGAGCTGAGGCTCCGGAGCCTCCTCCTCCAACTTTTTCGCTTTTTCTTCTCTTGTAGATCCATCCGTGGTCATCTCCCCCTTGGATGAGGGCAGCACCCCATTCCATTCGTGAATGTCAGCAAGATGATCCAAATAACTGGTCATTTCCAGCTGTTTTCGAATTGGTTCAAGCCATTCAACGCCACCTATGGCTATGGTTAGTCCTTCTTGGGGGCATTTTTTTCTTTTTTTCCTCCCTCTTCTTCTTCTTTTTGTTTTTTTCTCTCGCGAACACGGTGTGTTCACTTGAAGGCCGGGTTCGATCAGGGTACGTTTTTCAGGCGACGTATGTCAGCTGCGCAGGCTCGCGAAAGTGCGTGTGCGAATTTGGTGTCTTTCAAAGGTGCGCTCTCGCTGTGGTGCCGTGTGAATCCGGAAATGGTGGATTGCACCGTTTGCGGACTTTGGGCGTGTTTCGGCGAATATGTTTAGATCGGACTTTGCAGGTGTGAAATCGCTGTGACTGTGGTGCGGCGCGTTGTTTGAACATCACAAGTGAACCCTCTGCGGATTTTGGGTGGGTCGGATCCCTGCCGGCGGGCGATAAGCAATCCTCCCATACACTTTTTGCGTTGGTGTGTTGTCCCTTCACGGATTCTGTGCGCAAGTTTTGCCAAGAGATCCTACCGCAGAGATCCTGCCCAGAGGTCCTTCTGGCAGATCTTGGCGAGATCCTTGCATCCGATTTTGCGCCGAGATCCCAACGATCTCTTTGCCCTTGCGAGATCCTCCCAAGTCTTGCGCAGGACCCGTAAAGTTTTCCTGCAAGAGGCCTTGTAACGGATGCCCTCTATCCTCTGAGGGCACAAGCCTTGCCGACATATCCTATCAAGCCATTTTTTTGGGCTCCAAGTTCAAATTTCAACATACTGTCTGGGATGATTGAAAAGTAGGTTGTGTAAGTGGGGCTCCTTGCGATGGCCTCACAGCCATGGTTGCGACTGAAGTGGGCGCAACGCGCGCGCGCAAGTTTGGCACGATCTGTTGTCCTGGAAATTACTGCTGCGCAGGGGTTGATTCCATTATCAGTTGTTCCATGATCATTTCTTGTGAAAAGTCAGACGTTCTCCCTAGGTTTTGGCGATTTTGTGAAAGTAGATGCCACTATTCCCATCATGTCCCCAGTTAAAAAAGGATGATGAAACTAACATGAGGAGGTTGTGCCATCGCCTTTGGTCCTATTGTAAGTGTTGGGAACAGCAAGGCTCAGCGGCAAGAAGGTTGACCATAGCCTTTTTGTTTGTTGTCCCCATTAGCCAGGAAAGCACGTTTCACTTTTGCGGTCAACCGCCAACCCAGGAACGTCATGCTCAACAAGGCGGGGCACTTGAAAGTTCGGGCTGGGGCTTTGTTGTTGGGTGGGGTTCTTCAAGGATGTTGGCTCTGCACGTGGGGCTGTCTCAATTCGAGAACCCCAACATGGAATGCAAGGTGTACTTTGAAACAAAGCAAAAGAGGTACCCACAAAACTCGACAGGCGCGTGGGATTTGTCATGTTTTCTTTTTTTATAGGGGGGGGCATGTGAGAACTATGTGAAGTAAGTTGGTGGCTGCTGGTCACCAGCCTTGGAGGGATACTGAGGTGTCCCTCTTCAGCATGGGCACGCCGGAGCAAGGGGGGGCTGGGTGGGTGAGGTGGGTGGGTGGTGGTGGTGGTGGTGACTAATGGAAAAAGCAGGGGAATAAATGTGGGTGGACGGGGGGGGACATTGATTGTACGGCCTCTTTGGGGAAGCCTTGCACGAAAGTTTTGCTGCGCTGATTCCACAGTTGTTTTTGTCGTTTCCTTTTTTTTTGGTGGGGGGGGTGTTGAGTGCAAGCCCGGCACATGGCCAAGTCTTCGGATCCAAAGGGTGCTGCGCAAACTCGCCGGGGAGTTGGTGGATTCTACCAAACTGGCCGCTAGAAAACGGGCTCGAGGAATCATTAGAGGCTGAACGCCTGAACGTTTGGAACACCGTGTTTCCCGTTTGTTTTTGGCAGAGACTGCCCAGAAGCCATGCTTGAATTCTCCTGAGACCTTGGGGCGGATCTAGCACCCGTCTGCCACACTGTTAGAGGATCTGGTTAGCGTTGTTCTTTATAGACGGCTGGACTATTCGCACCTCCCCCCTGAACTGACCCGAGGTTATGCTTGACACCTTGATTGCCGGGAAAGACCCTTGAAGAAACCACGGTGTCTCTCAAACTCAGAGAAAAAAACAAGAGAAAGTGTTCTTTTCCCCTTTTTCCTGCCAACCAACCGGAAAACGAGCAGCCTCCAAAGAAAGCCACAGACCCAACGTATCGTCCAGTTTCGCCTTTCGCCCCGAGAGGCGCTACAGGAGGACCGGCCCACCGAGCTGGAGGCGTGAGTGGGAAACGCGAGTGACCGAGTTTCATTTGGGTGTGGTGGTCAGAATGAAGAACCACCAGGAATCGGACCGCAGGTTTTGGTCCATGTTGCCACAGGGCGCAAGCACCATTTTAGCCATTTGGGCCGATTTGACACCCAAAACGAAAGGCAAAAAGGGACGGGCTCCTTTTGCAGACGACGGAAGACGGAATGTCTTTGATTTTTTTTTTGAAAATATATATATGTAAAAATAAACAAAAACTAAAAACACAAGAATGGGGTTTCCTTTTGAGGAGAGGTTCACGCCGGTTGTTCTTGAAATTGGGACCCTCCCTCCAAAAGCTGCTTTTTTCCTTTTCGGTTTCCCGCTAAACCAAGAAGTACCAAGAAGACCTGGTTTGTTTGTAGTTTCCAAAGCCGAAAAGGCGGTTCCCCATGGAAGCCACGCGCCACCTGCGCGCGCGCAGGTCTCCCTGCGGAGCCTGGACGTGTCCTCCAACCGCCTGGAGCTGCGGGCGCTGCCCGGCGCGCTCACCGCGCCCTGGTTTTGAACAGCGGCGGGGAGCCGCGAGGCTCGTTCCACGTTGTTTGTTTTTGTTTTTCTGTAAGCTCAGGTTGCTCCAAAGTGGTTTCACAAAGCAGAAGCGTGATTGTTTTCTCCAATTTGAGACGATGGTCATCCCTTAGTTGGTTTGGATTGGCCCCTGGTTCTTGCAGAGAGTACATGGGACACCGGGACACCACCCCCGGAGCACCTCCAACCAAACCAAGCCAAACCACCACTTCAGGGACGCTAAAGAACCTCCGGTGAAGAAACGGGAGCTGCTTCCTCCCTTCTCCTTTCGGGATGCTCGAGCCGAAAGCAAGCGTCACACTGACGGGAAAAAAGACAGTAACTTTCGGAGGGAAGGACCTAGGGAACTGATGGGGGGTCCCGTGAGGAATGTCCTGGCGAGAATTGGGAGGACAACATTCATTTGGTGGGGGAAGGTGATTATAAAGGATTTACAACCTTTACAAAACTAAAGAATAACCCCCCCCCCAATTCGCTTGGGCCTCTATAAATGCATACCTGGATTTTATGGTGTTTTGAAAGCGAGAGTGTGTGTGTGTGTGTGTGTGGGTTTGTGTGTGTCTTTTTCAAGGTAACCACCTGCGGCCCCGGCCCCGTGTTCGTGACTTTAAATTGACAACCAGGTTTTTGGGGTCCATACTCAGTTGACTTTGTAGAGTCCACCATGAGGCCGTTGCATCAAACTTCACACCCACAGTTTGGACAATTGGATAGGACTACCCCGAATTTTCGCCTGGTGGTTTGGGAGTGGTCTCCTCACGGTCAACCAACAACCCGGCTCAGGTGGCGAACCTCGCGAACAACCCTCGCATGCTCATCGACAATGCGACGCTGCTCCGGGTTCTGGAGGGCAGTGTCTTCGCCGAGCTGAGGCGGTTGGGTGAGTGTCTCTTCCCAAATGAAGAGGTTAGTCCAATCCTAGAGGCAAGAAGGCCAAGCCTCACTCAAGGCCCGGGATGCTTTTCAACCGATGTTGGCCGATTCACGGCGGGGGGTCCGAATCTCTTTTCCCTTTTTGGGGTGGAAGCATTATCATGCCAGGGCTCCGTTTTCCCCCTCAAATAGTAGCAACTATCACCTTTTGGTTATTGGAATAAGAATGAGCTGGGTTGATCTTTGAATAGGACACCCAAAGAACATTTTTTTGTGTAGAGGCACAGGTTGGGTTTGGGGTGCAATCTGAGGGACCCGGATTACGTAAAGGGCCAACTTACAGGCAGATTGCAACCACATGTTCGAGCGGTGATGGGACATAAAGCGACACCTTTGTGCAAGGCCATTTTGATGTGCGAGTTGCTTTTGCTGGAACATGTGTGGTGTGTTTAGGCTGGACAAACATGCAGGCGAAGTTCGTTCGAAATAACCCACATGTATAACGTAGTATCGCAGCCACTGGTGAGATCAATGTTCTACCACCCGAGCACACCAGGAAAAAAGAGTTTTGGTCCGTTTTGGTTGTTTTGTTTTTGAGAGATGCTGGGGATGTTGGCGGGACATGCGGAGGATGTTGACGGGCTAGTGTAACATACGGACATTTCGTGAGACAATGCAACATTTTTCTGGCCAAGTCGAACAACAAAAACAAAACGGTCAAACAAGAACACGGAAACCAATAATAATAAAAATAATAATGATAATGATAATAATAATAATAGTAATAATAGTAATAACAATAATGATAATGATGATGATTATAACAGTAAAAATAATAATGATGATGATGAGAATGATAATACTAATAATAATAATACTAATAATAATACTAATAATAATAGTAATGATGATGATAATAATAATCATAATAATAATACTAATACTAATAATAATACTACTACTAAAAATAATAATAATAGTAATAATAATAGTAATAGTAATATAATAATAATTTTACGAATAATAATAATAATAATAATAATAATAATAATAATAATAATAATATAATAATAATAATAATAGTAAGAGTAATATAATAATAATTTTACGAATAATAATAATAATATAATATTAAGAATAAGAATAATAATAATAGTAATTTTAATAATATTAATAATAATAAAATAATAATAAGAATAATAATAATAATAGTCATTATAATAATAGTAATAATAATACTAATAATAATAATGATGATGATAATGATAATACTAATAATAATACTAATAATAAGACTAATAATAATAGTAATGATGATGGTAATAATAATCATAATAATAATAATACTAATACTAATAATAATAATACTAATAATAATAGTAATAATAATAGTAATTGTAATATAATAATAATTTTACGAATAATGATAATAATAATAATATAATAATA